CACCCAGCAGAAGAAGAGAGTTAATTAAAATTCGAGCAGAACTCAACGAAATTGAGACCAGAAGAACTGTGGATGAGATCAATAGAACCAGGAGTTGGTTCTTTGAAAGAATTAATAAGATAGATAAACCATTAGCCAACCTTATTAAAAAGAAGAGAGAGAAGACTCAAATTAGTAAAATCATGAATGAGAAAGGAGAGATCACTACCAACACCAAGGAAATACAAACGATTTTAAAAACATATTATGAACATCTATACGCCAATAAATTAGGCAATCTAGAAGAAATGGACGCATTCCTGGAAAGCCACAAACTACCAAAACTCGAACGGGAAGAAATAGAAAACCTGAACAGTCCAATAACCAGGGAGGAAATTGAAGAAGTCATCAAAAACCTCCCAAGACACAAGAGTCCAGGGCCAGATGGCTTCCCAGGGGAATTCTATCAAACGTTTAAAGAAGAAATCATACCTATTCTACTAAAACTGTTTGGAAAGATAGAAAGAGATGGAGTACTTCCAAATTCATTCTATGAGGCCAGCATCACCTTAATTCCAAAACCAGACAAAGACCCCACCAAAAAGGAGAATTACAGACCAATATCCCTGATGAACATGGATGCATAAATTCTCAACAAGATACTAGCCAATAGGATCCAACAACACATTAAGAAAATTATTCACCATGACCAAGTAGGATTTATCCCCGGGACACAAGGCTGGTTCAACACTCGTAAAACAATCCATGTGATTCATCATATCATCAAGAGAAAAACCAAGAACCATATGATCCTTTCATTAGATGCAGAGAAAGCATTTGACAAAATACAGCATTCATTCCTGATCGAAACTCTTCAGAGTGTAGGGATAGAGGGAACTTTCCTTGACATCTTAAAAGCCATCTATGAAAAGCCCACAGCAAATATCATTCTCAATGGGGAAGCACTGGGAGCCTTTCCCCTAAGATCAGGAACAAGACAGGGATGTCCACTCTCACCACTGCTATTCAACATAGTATTGGAAGTCCTAGCCTCAGCAATCAGACAACAAAAAGACATTAAAGGCATTCAAATTGGCAAAGAAGAAGTCAAACTCTCCCTCTTCGCCGATGACATGATACTCTACATAGAAAACCCAAAAGCCTCCACCCCAAGATTGCTAGAACTCATACAGCAATTTGGTAGTGTGGCAGGATACAAAATCAATGCCCAGAAATCAATGGCATTCCTATACACTAACAATGAGACTGAAGAAAGAGAAATTAAGGAGTCAGTCCCATTTACAATTGCACCCAAAAGCATAAGATACCTAGGAATAAACCTAACCAAAGAGGTAAAGGATCTATACCCTAAAAACTATAGAACACTTCTGAAAGAAATTGAGGAAGACACAAAGAGATGGAAAAATATTCCATGCTCATGGATTGGCAGAATAAATATTGTGAAAATGTCAATGTTACCCAGGGCAATTTACATGTTTAATGCAATCCCTATCAAAATACCACGGACTTTCTTCAGAGAGTTAGAACAAATTATTTTAAGATTTGTGTGGAATCAGAAAAGACCCCGAATAGCCAGGGGAATTTTAAAAAACCATATCTGGGGGCATCACAATGCCAGATTTCAGGTTGTACTACAAAGCTGTGGTCATCAAGACAGTGTGGTACTGGCACAAAAACAGACACATAGATCAATGGAACAGAATAGAGAACCCAGAAGTGGACCCTGAACTTTATGGTCAACTAATATTCGATAAAGGAGGAAAGATGATCCACTGGAAGACAGACAGTCTCTTCAATAAATGGTGCTGGGAAAATTGGACATCCACATGCAGAAGAATGAAACTAGACCACTCTCTTGCACCATACACAAAGATAAACTCAAAATGGATGAAAGATCTAAATGTGAGACAAGATTCCATCAAAATCCTAGAAGGGAACACAGGCAACACCCTTTTGAACTTGGCCACAGTAACTTCTTGCAAGATACATCCACGAAAGCAAAAGAAACAAAAGCAAAAATGAACTATTGGGACTTCATCAAGATAAGAAGCTTTTGCACAGCAAAGGATACAGTCAACAAAACTCAAAGACAACCTACAGAATGGGAGAAGATATTTGCAAATAACATATCAGATAAAGGGCTAGTTTCCAAAATCTATAAAGAACTTATTAAACTCAACAGCAAAGAAACAAACAATCCAATCATGAAATGGGCAAAAGACATGAAGAGAAATCTCACAGAGGAAGACATAGACATGGCCAACATGCACATGAGAAAATGCTCTGCATCACTTGCCATCAGGGAAATACAAATCAAAACCACAATGAGATACCACCTCACACCAGTGAGAATGGGGAAAATTAACAAGGCAGGAAACAACAAATGTTGGAGAGGATGCGGAGAAAAGGGAACCCTCTTACACTGTTGGTGGGAATGTGAACTGGTGCAGCCACTCTGGAAAACTGTGTGGAGGTTCCTCAAAGAGTTAAAAATAGACCTGCCCTACGACCCAGCAATTGCACTGTTAGGGATTTACCCCAAAGATTCAGATGCAATGAAACGCTGGGACACCTGCACCCCGATGTTTCTAGCAGCAATGTCCACAATAGCCAAACTGTGGAAGGAGCCTCGGTGTCCATCGAAAGATGAATGGATAAAGAAGATGTGGTTTATGTATACAATGGAATATTACTCGGCCATTAGAAACGACAAATACCCACCATTTGCTTCAATGTGGATGGAACTGGAGGGTATTATGCTGAGTGAAGTAAGTCAATCAGAGAAGGATAAACAGTGTATGTTCTCATTCATTTGGGGAATATGAATAATAGTGAAAGGGAATATAAGGGAAGGGAGAAGAAATGTGTGGGAAATATCAGAAAGGGAGACAGAACATAAAGACTCCTAACTCTGGGAAACGAACTAGGGGTGGTGGAAGGGGAGGAGGGCGGGGGGTGGGGGTGAATGGGTAACGGGCACCGAGGGGGACACTTGACGGGATGAGCACTGGGTGTTATTCTGTATGTTGGTAAATTGAACACCAATAAAAATTAATTTATTAAAAAAAAAAGAAATTCAGCCCCTTGCATTTATAAAGGCAAATATTACAGGCATTCATCCTCCCTGTTTGTGGGCTCCCCAGTGTGAAAATCTATTTTCCATCCTTCTCCACACCATTGGTTCTCTGCCCACTGAAGGCCCCAAGATGACCATGGTCCATTTTGCTCTCAGATCATGTCTTTGCCCTTCCTAACTCCTTCAATGTGGCCTCTTCCCTATCTTTAGTTACAGAGATTATCTGCCAGTCTTTTTCATTTTCTGGGTTATTTATACTGAGATGAATGTTACCCTAGCTGTATCCATGGAATGAGGTGAGCTTAGGGTCTTCCTATTCCATCTTCCCAGCCAACCTCATTTCACAAGCATTCTTGAAATGAAGACCTCTATCGCTTGTAAAGAGTTAACTGTATGGCCTTCAATTGATACAAATTAGTCACCTGGGGGCAAGAATACTTTATAAATGGTGCCCTGTATTTCATATTCCTTCACATTAGGATACATATAATGTTCTACTTGAAAATTCTGCTATATTTAATAACTATTAAAGGGATAATAGAAACAGGTTCTAAGGGACAAGAAAACGGTAACTGTTATGAAGCTATGTAAATAATTAAAGTGTGAGATAATAGTAGCTCACTCCAATGTACTAGTAATAGAGATGATGGAAAATGGTCAGATTTTTTATATAATTTGAAGTTAAAGTCAGGACATTAGAAGTGAAGTGTGAGAAAGAAGTACGACTCCAAGGCATTTGTTCTTAGATCCTCAAAGGATGGATTTGTTATCACCCGAGACAGAAAAAGTCATAGGTAGAAAATGTTTAGGGGAAGGGGAAAAGATACATAGTTCAGTTTGAGACATGCTATTTTTAAGATGTCTACTGGCCATCCAAGTGGAGATATCAAGAAAGCAGTTGAAAATATGAATCTGCAGTTTAGGAAAGAGGACTAGATTAGGGATATAAATTTGGGAATCCTTATCATAAAGTTGGTATTTAAAGCCATTATACTGAGAGCATCAAGGAATGAATGCAGATAGAGAAGAGAACAAAGAGCTGGCCCCTGAAATTCTCCAATATTAAGAGATCAAGAAGGAAAAAACCTAGCAAAAAAGACTGAAAATGAACAAGGAAAGTAGGAGGAAAGCCAAGATTGTGTATGTTAAAAGTCACATGAAGTAATTATGCCAAAGAAGAGTGATCAATAGTGTCAACTGTTTTGCACAGATAGATCAGAATATGTGGGATAAGAATTAAACAACATATTCAGTAATGTAGAGATGAATTTAACAAGAGCAGTTTTGATGCTGCAGTGGAGTGAAAATGATTATAGCTGGTTTAAAGAGAAAATGGAGAGAAGGTACTGAGGGTATGAAATAGTTCTCTAGAACAGTAGAAAAGTGAGTAAGCGGAAAGTAGTCTGACTGCCTACCAGCAAAAGGTTCTAGTTGAGATTCATGGTCATGAATTTAAAGTGAGAACAGTCTTCATGTTGTTGTTGGTTTTTTTTTTTTTTTTCCAGCCATGTTCTATTGTAGGCATAGGTATAGCACTGGTGAAGAATCCGATAAACCAGGGGTTTTGTTTTGCCAAGCAATACGATGAAATGAGAGAGGAACAAAGAGTCAAAAGTGTGAGCAAAACAGTAATCAAGAGTGCTTTGTGGTATTTACGCTATGTAGGGCATGACAAAGTGAAGAATTAAAAAAAAAAAAAGGTGATAGGATCAATGCACTGGGGATTCCAGTATAATCAGAGTACTTAGAGGAAATGAGCCAGAGATAAAAGAATTGTAATAAAATAACTATAATCAGACAACCAGATACACAGTGGAGTTAGTATCTAATACTCTATATAATCCATATTTTTTCTTTCTTGAAACTTATCAGAAGCAATGTTAAACAAGTCTTTCTTATATTTTAGTTTAAAAGATTTTCTTACCTCTGATGAGGAAGGTCGGCTTGGACTGAGGGACATATTCACCAATGTCTGAATGGGCGATCATCAGTTGGAATTTTGTGGGTTTTTAAATCTTTCTTCATCTAAGTAGTATTTATAAAGTTATAATCGATTTTTTACTTTATATAGCATTCCACTCATTTCTGGGTGAAAAGAAAAACACAAAAAGCTTTAAAATAGACCAAAAAATGAAAACTTAGGAAGGTATACACTCATATTATAGTAATTCAAAAAGATATCTAACTAGTAAATAGGACTGATGATTGCAATGAAAAGAACATATATCCTATATAATTAAATACAGTGCTAATTATGATAGACTTGTAATCAGGGCATATTTTAGTATTCTAAACAATTTTCTCAAGATTGAAAATTAAAGTTAAATATATATGGTATTTTACATAAAGTAGAACTATGTTTCTGGAAGTGAAAAGATTGAATTTGTACAAATGGCTGTATAATGATGGAAATCATTTTACATATACTTCTTCCTGGGCTTAGATACCTCAACAGTAAATGTGAACTGTTATCCCAGATGAAAATGCCAGTCTTTAAGTATTTTAAGCTATGTTTATAATGTTGCTTCCTGTATTTTTCTCAGAAGATTTAGGACAATTTACAAGAATACATAGAAAATTTTAAATTATTTAAATATATAATAAAAATTTTAAAATAAGGTAGGTGAATTACTGTAAAATAGAATTATCAAAGTAAGACAATCCTTAAGGATACAAAAAAAAAATCAATACCACAACAGAACGCTTTCTAAGATTTCAAAGCATTATTCCATCTTGATTTATGTTAAATTAGTGAACAAATCAAACAAAATGTAAAATTTCTGAGATTTGGTACTGGTTACAGTTTTATAAAATCACACCAGAGTTCACTAATTGTTCTAATGGTATAAAAATTTAAAAATTATATCCTGGGACAAAAAAATTTTAATTTCTATTTTTTTTTAGAGAGTATAAGTCAGGAGAGGCAGAGAAGGAGGAGAGAGAATCTTAAGCATGATTCGCCACACAGCTTGGAGTGCAACATGGGGATCAATCTCATGACCATGAAAGCATGACCTGAGCCAAAATCAAGAGTCAGACACGTAACTGATTGAGTCACCCAGGCATCCCATAACATCTTTTATATCAACTTAGTTTCATATGTTATTTCTATGTAAATGTCTTACAATAATTTAAAAAATGTAATTTGTCATCTTAACACCTCAAACACTAAATTACAATATTTTTTAAAAAATCATTTAGTTACTTCCACTTCTATACCTATCCAAAATCTTCCTGCCATTGTACTAATATTAGCCTATATTATGAACCCAAGTAAAAGAGAACTCGGATACGTACATGGTAACATCCTTATTACATAAGAATCAGTTCCAAAAAGCTGTAAGACTTACAGTATATGGGCACACAAATTGGGAAGCTGGGATTTTTAATTTCTGCAGATGCATTAAAAACGACATTTTCATTTAGAATAAATTTTTAATTAAGCAAACTTAAGACATCAACCAAGCCCCGCTTTTTTTTTTAACTTTTATTTATTTATGATAGTCACACACACAGAGAGAGAGAGAGAGGCAGAGACATAGGCAGAGGGAGAAGCAGGCTCCATGCACCGGGAGCCCGACGTGGGATTCGATCCCGGGTCTCCAGGATCGCGCCCTGGGCCAAAGGCAGGCGCCAAACCGCTGCGCCACCCAGGGATCCCAGATCTAACTATTCTATAAAGAGAACCACCTATTTCTTGATATTTTTTCAAAATGATTTTGGGACTGAGTAGAAGAACTAAAAAAAAAACAAGCTTAAAAATGACCTGGTGCCGAGAACCCAAGGAACTGCCAGCCAGTTCATGCCTGCTTTAGCACTAGCTATCCCACCAGGGTGGCCCTGATGCAGAGTGCTATAAAACTCCCAGTTTGTTTCTCACTCCAGCTCCAGACAGCCAGTCAAAGCCACCAGGCACATGCAGTCTACACAAGGAAGGTTCTTATACAACACCATTCCTTCAAGGCTGGGTAAGGTTGCTGTTTCACAGCAACAAACACAGAATTGAAAGAAAACAAGGAGTCAGAGGAATATGGTCTAAATGAAAGGAATATTTGTCTAAATGAAGACAAAGTCAGAAAAAGAACTAAATAAAATGAAGATAAGCAATCTATCTGAGAGAGTTCAAGGTAATGGTCATAAGGATGCTCACTGGACCACAGATACAAATGGATATACCCAGTGAGAATTTCAAGAAAGAGATAAAGATATAAAAAAGGACCAACCAGAGTTGAAGAATACAATAACTGAAATGAAAAATACACTAGAGGAAAGCAATAGCAGATTAAGGGATACAGAAGAATGGATCAGTGATCTGGAAGACAGGGTAATGAAAAGTACCCATGCTGAACAGCAAAAAGAGAAAAGAATTTTTAAAATGAGGAAATCTTAAAGGAACTCTGAGACAATATCAGATTTACTAACATTTGCATTGTAGAAGTCCCAGAAGGAGGAAAGAAAAAGGGGCAGAAAACTTATTTGAATAAGTAATGGCTGAAAATTTCCTCAACCTAGGTAAGGAAGACATCTAGGTACAGGAAACACAGAGAGAACTGCAAATAAGATAAACACAAAAAGGTCCACACCAAGCCTCATGATAGCTAAAATGTCAAAAACTAAAGACTGAGAGAATTTCAAAAGTAACAACATAAAAACAACTAGTTACATACAATGAAAATAAGGCTAAAGAATCACCTGATTTTTTTTAGCAGTAACTTTGCAAGCCAGAAGAGAGTGGCATGATATCTTCAAAATACTGAAAGGAAAAAAAACTACAACCAAAGATATTGTATGAGCAAAGTTACCATTCACAATTGAAGGAAAGATAAAGAGTCTCCTAGACAAACAGAAGTTAAAGGAGTTCATTACCATTAGCCTGGCCTTACAAGAAAAGTGAAAGAGACTTCTTTAAATGGAAAAACCAGAACTAGAAAAACATTATGGAAAAAAAAATCATTTCACTGGTAAAAGCAAACATATAGTAAAGGTAGTTGATCATTCACTTATAAACTATGACGAAGGTTCAACAAAAGTGATAAAATCAATTATATCTCAAAAAGTAGTTAAGGAATTCACAAAATAAAAAGATCTAAAATATGATATCATATACAGAAAATTTGAAGGGGTAAAGAGTAAAAATATAATCCTTTTAGAATGTATTCAAACTTACATTTAGAATGTATTCAAAACCAAAAACCTGTAACTGATACACAAATATAAAGACAAATGATAATATTAAAGAAAGTCATAAACTGCAAGAGAGGAAAGCAAAAGAAAGGTATAGAGAAGAACAATAAAAACAACCAGAAAACAATGAACAAAATTGAAGTATATACCTATTGATAAGAACTTTAAATGTAAATGGACTATATGCTCCAAATGAAAGATATAGCATGACTAAATGGATTTTTTAAAAAAACAAGACCCATCTATAAGCTGCCTACAGGAAACTCACTTCAGACCTAAAGACATAAACAGACTACAAGTAAAGGAACAGAAAAATATATTCATGCAAATGGAAGTGGAATAAAAAAGCTGGGGTAGCAATACTTAGACAAACTTTAAACAAAGCCTATAAGAAAAGACAAAGAAGAGCATTATGTAATGATAAAGTGATCAATCCATGAAAAGGATATAATAATTGTAATATTTATGTACCAAGATAGGAGCACCTGAATATATAAAACAAAAATGAACAGACATAAAGGGAGAAATTGAAAGTAATACAATAATAATAAGGGGCTTTAACATCCCACTTATATCGATAGATCATCCAGACAGAAAACCAACAAGGAAACTGGTTCTGACTGACATCAGACCAGATGAACTTAACAGATATATAGAACATTATCTCCAAAAACAGTAGGATATACATTCTCTTCAAGTGCACATAGAACATTCTCTAGGATTGATCACATTAGGCCACAAATCTCAATAAATTTAAGACTGAAATAAAATCAAGCATCTTTTCCGATCACAATAGTATGAAACTAGAAATCAATTACAAGAAAAAAATTTAAAAACAGGAAAAAAATAGAATCATGTGAAGATTTGAAAACATGTTACTAAACAACCAGTAAGTCAATAAGGAAATCAAATAGGAAATAAAAAAAAAAAAAGGAGACAAATGAAAATAGGAACACAATAGATAAACATCTTTGGAACACATCAAAAGCAGTTCTCAGAGGGAAGTTTATAGTGTTACAGGTCTACTGCAAGAAACAAGAATAATCTCAAATAAACAACCTAATCTTACACCTAAAGGAACTGGGAGAGAAAGGAAATCGTATCAGAGTGGAAATAAGTGAAATAGAAGCTAAAATAAAAATCAGTGAAACTAAGAGTGAGCCATTGAAAAGATAAGCAAAATTAATAAACCTTTAGCCAGAATCATCAAGAAAAAAAAGGGGGGGGGAGGACTTAATAATAACAGAAATGAAAGAGAAGTAACAAACTTCATCACAGAAATACAAAGGATTATAAAAAGACTACTATGAGAAATTATAGGCCAACAAATTGAACCTAGAAGAAATAAATTCATAGAAACATACAATCTTCCAAGATTGAATAAGAAAGAAAAAAATCTGAACAGATGAATTACCAAACAAAATTCAATCTGTAATCAAAGAGTTCCTAACAAACAAAAGTCAGGACTCTAGGCATATTCACAGGTGAATTTACCAAATATTTAAAGAAAAATTATTATCTGCTCTTCTCAAACTTTTCCAAAAACAGAAGAGGAAGGAAAACTTCCAAATTCATTCTACCAGCCCAGCATTACTCTGATACTAAAACCAGGCAAAGACATTACAAAAAAAAAAAAAAAGAAAACCATAATCCTATATCCCTGATGCACATAGATGCAAAAATTCTCTAAAATATCAGCAAATCAATTTCAACATTAAAAAAATAATTCACCATGATCAAATAGGATTTATTCCAGGGATACAAGGATGGTCCAATAGTCACAAAATCAACATGATAAGTCACATTAATAAAGTATAAAAACCATATAATCATTTTGATAGATGCATAAAAAGAATTTAAGAAAGTACAACATCCATTCTTGATAAAAGCTCTCAACATGACAGGTTTAGAGAGAACCTCAACATAATAAGACCACTAATGAAAAAGCCACAGCTAACATCATACTCAATGGTGAAAGTTTTTCTTCTAAGAGCTTTTCCTCTAAGCTCAATAACAAGACACAGATGCACGTTTTCACTTTTATTCAACATAGCACTAGAAGTTTAGGCTGCAGCAATTAGACAAGAAAAAGAAATAAAAGGCATCCAAATTGGTAAGGAAGAACTTAAACTGTCATTTTACACAGATAACAGGATACTATACATAAAAACCCGTAAAGACTCCACTAAAAAGTATTAGAACTGATAAATGAATTCAGTAAAGTTTCAGGATATAAAATGAATAAACAGAAATCTGTTGTGTTTCTATACATTATGTAGTAGAAAAAGATATTAAGATAACAATTCCATTCACGATTGCACCAAAAAGAATAAAATACCTAGAAATAAGCTTAACCAAGAAGGTGAAAGACCCATACTCTGTAAACCATAAAACACTGATGAAAGGCATTTAAGACAACACAAAGGGCAAGATATTGCATGCTTATGGGAGATTCAATATTTTTAAAGTGTCCATACTACCCACCCAAGTAATTTACAAATTCAATGCATTCCCTATCAAAACACCAACAGCATTTTTCACAAAACTAGAACAAATAATACTAAATTTGTATGGAACCACAAAAGACCTCAAATAGCTAAAGCAATCTTGAGAGAAAAGAACAAAGCTGGAGGGAGGGATCACAATCCCAGATTTCCAGATATACTGCAAAGCTATAGTAATCAAAACAGTATGGTACTGGCACAAAAGGAGACACATAGGTCAATGAAACAGAACAGAGTCTGGAAATACAACCATGCATATATGGTCAATTAATTTACAACAAAGGAGGCAAGAATACACAACAGGGAAAGATAGTCTCTTCAACAAATGGTGCTGGGAAAATCGGACAGTTACCAAAAAATGAAACTGGACCACTTTCTTCAACCCATATACCAAAATAAACTCAAATTGGATTAAAGACCTAAATATGAGACCTGAAGGAAACAAAGACAGTAATCTCTGACACCAGTCTCAGCAACATTTCTCTAGATACATCTCCTCAAGCAAGGGAAATAAAAAACTAGTAGGACCATATCAAAAGAAAAAGTTTTTGCACAGTGGAGGAAATCATCAACAAAATGAAAAGGTGACCACTGAATGGGAGATTTTTGCAAATTATACATCTGATAAGGGGTTAATATGCAAAATACATAAAGAACTTACACAGGGACGCCTGGGTGGCTCAGTGGTTGAGAGTCTGCCTTCGGCTCGGGGCGTGATCCTGGAGTTCTGGGATCAAGTCCCAGATTGGGCTCCTGCAGGGAGCCTGACTGTTTCTCCCTCTGCCTCTCTATGTCTCTCATGAATAAATAAATCTTTTTACACAATCTACATCAAAACCACAAATAATCCAACTAAAAAATGGACAGAGGAGCTGAGCAGACATTTTCCAAAAAAAAACCATATAAACGGCCAAAAGACACCTGCAAAGATGCTCAACATCACTAATCATCAGGGAAATGCAAATCAAAACCACAATAAGATCATTTTACAAGTCAGAGTGATTAGAATAAAAAAGACAAGAAACAACAAGTGTTGGTGAGGATATGGAGAAAAAGAATTCCTAAGGCATTGTTGGTGGTAATGCAAGTTGGTGCAGCCACTGTGGAAAACACTATTCAGGTTCCTCAAAAATTAAAAATAGAAACACCATATGATCCAGTAATTCCACTACTAGATATTTACCCAAAGAAAACAAAAACATTGATTTGAAAAGATAAACGCACCCCTATGTTTATTGCAGCATTACTTATAATAGCCAAGATAGGGAAGCATCTCAAGCATCCACTGATAGATTAGTGGATAAAGAAGATGTGGAATATATACACAATGGAGTATTACTCAGCCATAAATAATGAGATCTTGCCCTTTGCAACAACATGGAAGGAACTAGAGAGTATTATGCTAAGTGAAAAAAAGACAGAGACAAATATATGATTTCACTTATATGAGGAATTTAAACAACAAATGAATGAACAAAAAAACATACTTAAATACAAAGAACAAACTGTTAGCAAAGGACCATAGGGGAGATCAGTGAAATAGGATTAAAAAGTACAAACTTCCAATGATAAGTGTCATGGAAACAAAAAGTACAGCATGAAAAATATAGTCAATAATACTGTAATAACATTGGTGATAGATGGTGAGTATGCTTATTGTGCTGGGCACTGAGTAATACATGAAACTGATAAATCATTAGATGTCTTAAACGAATATAAAATTGTATGTTAATTAAACTTCAATAACAAAAAACAATCTGATATTAAAAATGGGCAGAAGAGGGCTGCCTGGGTGGCTCTGTCAGTTAAGCATCCAACTCTTGATTTCAGCTCAGGTCATGATCAGGGTCCTGAGATTGAGCCCAATGTCAGGCTCCCCCCTGGGCATGGAGTCTGCTTAAGATCCTCTCTCCCTCTGCTCCTCCCTCTGCTCACATTGTCTCTTACTTAAATTTAATAAATAAAATCTTTAAAAAAATGGGCAGAGGACTTGAAGAATTTTTCCAAAGGCAGCACACAGATGGCCAACAGACAAATGAAAAGATGCTCAATATCAGTAATCACCAGAGAAACGCAAATCAAAATGACAAAAGAGATACCATTTCACACCAGTTAGAATGGCTAGTTTCAGAAAAAAAATAAGAACAAATGTTGGCAAGGATGGGGAGAAAAAGGAACTTTCATGCACTGTTGGTGGGAATGTAAATTGGTGCACCACTGTGGAAAACAGTATGCAGTTTCTTCAAAAGCTAAAAATAGAAAAAGGAACTCTCATGCACCTTTGGTGGGAATGTAAATTGGTGCAGTCACTGTGGAAAATAGTATGAGTTTCTTCAAAAATTAAAAATAGTAATACCATTTTAAAAAAGAAACACCTACCATCTAGTAATTCCACTACTTGATATTTCCCAAAGAAAATGCAAACACTAATTTGAAAAGATATATGCACTCCTATGTTTTGTGCAACATTACTTACTTACAATAGCCAAGGCATGGAAGCAACCCAAGTATCCACTGATAAACTGTATAAAGAATATATAGAATATTATTCAGTAATGTAATGCTAGTCATGAAAAAGAATGAGCTCTTGCCCTTTCCAACATGGATGGACCTAGAGGATATTATGCTAAATGAAGGAAATCAGAAAATGACAAATACAATATGGTTTTACTCACACCTGAAATCTAAAAAACAAACGAACAAACAAAACCAGAAATACACCCATAATCACAGAGAAAACTTCCGGCGGCCAGCAGGAGGGAGGTTCGGAGAGGCACAAGGGGTGAAGAGGGGCGGGAGCTTCCAGTTATGGAATGAGTAGGTCTCCAGGATACAGTCAACGGGACTGTAAGAGCATTGTAGGGGGACAGACGGTTGCTATGCTTGTGGTGAGCATAGCATACTGAACAGATTTGTCCATTAAAAAAAAAAAGAATTCTGTATTATTTCATTATGAAATGAGGAAAAAGAGACCCAGCCAAGTTTAAGTGGCTCGCCCAGGGATACCAAGGTAAGTGGTAGAGCCTGGAATTTATACCTTGGTTCATGAACCTCGTCATTACGTCTCTCGTGCGAATTGAGTAGCATTGTACATTCCTGTAAAATGATCTAAACCGTTTAGGGGTAGGTTTTGTCAATCAGAGCAGATTATATGTGGATTCTCTCACCCTACAAAAAAAATCTAACGGGTCTTAGTGATGAGACTATTCTCGTTTGCTGCAGACCTTAGGGTATTCGCTGAGGTACTCGAATCCTATGTATGATGTCAATCGCTGTGACGTCACACATACGTTTCCATGGGTGAACCGCTTCAGCTGCGCCTAGTTCTGCGTGCTGAGATCCTACTGCTCCGCCGCTCCGGGAACTCCTCCCGAGGTCAACTTCAGGGGGGCAGGTCATGAGTTGACAACGGACACGCAGAACGGACTTGCCCAAAACACAAAACCGAGTTTTACTTGTCGAGGTGCACGAAGGGTCGATACCCGCCAGACGAAATGGAGCGTGAGGAGACGGACGGGCGTAATCTGCAGCAAACGCCTGGGCGAGCTCACAACGTCCTCGAGGGGAGCGCGCCCCCCCCCACCCCCGCGGCTCCCCGCCCCCCGCTACAGGGCCCCTCCCTGCCCCCTTCGGCGCCCGCGGACCCACGGCCGGCCGCCCGGGGAGCAGACTCGAGTCACCCCCAGACCCGTCTTTAAGGAGACGGCGTCAGTGACTCGCGCGGGTCCTTGCGGCTCCTCCCTTCTCTTCCCTCGACCTCAGCCGCCCGCGCCGCCAGGAAAGTCGCGACCTCCTCGGCACGCCGCCCCCAGGCCTTTCACAGACTCCCCCACCGGGTCTCCTCAGCGTCCCCCTCGGCTCTCGGCGGCTTAGGACAAGCCCTTCTTCTTCTTCTTCTTCTTCTTCTTCTTCTTTCTTTTTTTTTTTTTTGTTACCTCTCCTAAGTCGGCCTCTCCCGCGAGGAGGGAGAAGGTGGGCGTCGGCCGCGCTCGGCCGCTCGGTTACTCCGCCCTCCTCGCGCCCGCGCCCGCGCCCGCGCCCCCTCCCTCGGGCTCCGCGCTCCCGCCGGGGCCGAGGCGCTGGAACAGAGCGCGGGGGAGGAGCGCGCATGCGCGCTGCGGGTGGAGCCGCCCGGCAAAGCACCGGAAACTTAAGCGACAAAGTTCCGAGCCCCGCCCCCCCGCGCCGCCGCCGCCGCCGCCGCCGCGCAGCCCCAGCGTCTGGCCCCTCGGACCCACTGCGCGACGGATCCACCCGCGGACGAGCCTGCCCAGCACCTGCGAGCGCCATGTCTGGTTCCTCCAGCGTCGCCGCGATGAAGAAAGTGGTTCAGCAGCTCCGGCTGGAAGCGGGGCTCAACCGCGTGAAAGTGAGCGGGGGCGGGCGGCCGAGGGGGAGGGGAGGGGAGGGGAGGGCGGGGGCGGCGGGGTCCCGCTTCCCCGCGGAGGACGCGCGCTCGGCGGCGACGAGCCGGGAGCCGCTAACTTCAGGGAAGTGGCGGCGCGGGCCGACGAGGCGGCTTGGGGGGGGGGGGCCCGGGGGGCCCGGTTTTCCCGGGCAGCAGGTCCCGGGGCTGAACGGCGGCTTTGCGCATTCCGGCCGCCTCCCGCCCCCCCCCCCCCCCACTCCGCGGCGACTCCGCGGCGACTCCGCGGCTGGCTCGGGCCGCAGCTGCTCCGCCGCGCGCCGTCCGCCCCCTCCCAGTCCTTCGCTTACCGGACTCCACCCTTTCGAAAAGTCGGTTTCATCGGACTTTTAATTCAAAACAGAACCTGTTTTCATGTCGGAGTGTCCCCAAACCCACTCCTTTTTAGTACTAGATTCTCACCGCCCAGCTCCCTTTTTGTCCACCCAACACATACTTGAAAAGGAATTTTTGCAAACGCGGACTTTAGGTTTAAAGAAGCGAGTTTGTTTCCATCCCCCCCCCCCCCCGCCGTGCCCAGCGTGGCCACTAGGGCCCTATGCAGCCTCGTACGGAGCGTGGAGCGTGCGTTTCAGGTCTGTGGGGCAGTGTGCTGCGACCTGGCCTCGGGAACATCTACCGGCCTGGTATCTTGGTGATCAGAGTGGACCAGTCTTACTTGTTTTGCCGTTTGGTTAACACTGACCTTGGGCATTTTAGTTCGGGTGGAGAAAACCTTTTGTGTGTGTGTTGGGTAGGATAACCTGACTTGCTATTGCAAGTTTCTCCTGATTTTTAAGATCCTATGTGGATTGGTTTCTGTTTGGTGCAGGTCAGCTACCAGCGAAACCCTTCTTGTGATTAAAAGAAACAAAAGACTTGTAATTAAAAGAAACAGAAGAATATAAATCGTGCACTCTTTTGAAAGAATACAGCCAGTTTCTAAGAGGACTTGATGGTGTACTCACCAGGCTAGTCTTTACTTCTCCCTGAAATGTTTTGTTGGGGGGAAGATAGGCTCCCGTTTACCTATTTCCTTAAATAGACATGGCAGGGACCTAGCTCACTCAGTTGTGGTCACCTCAGGACGGAAGGGAAATTCCCATCACTTTTGGTGTGGGGATTCCCCTCCCTTCCTGGCTTTAAGGGCTTGTAGACTTTATTGCTGTTTGGAGTTCATTTCTTTGATCTTCAGATACTTACCTCATCCCATTGGTTTATGGTCAGTCTTGGATGGAGTTAATGGATTTAACTCTGTGTGAAATCTTTTTTTTTTAAGATTTTCTTCCTTTTTTTTAAGATTTTATTTATTTATTCATGATAGACAGACACAGACAGAGGGAAAAGCAGGCTCCATGCCAGTAGCCCGACTGGGGACTGGATTCCCGAGTCTCCAGGATCACGCCCTGGGGCCAAAGGCAGACGCCAAACCGCTGAGCCACCCAGGGATCCCCTGAAATCCAATTTTTTAACCAACCATTACATTATCATTCAGGTGTGCCTTTATCATAGGACTGGCTCAGGAAAGAAAAAAGTGAGGGGTGTAGGGGGCAAAAAGAAAGGCTGGTTGAAAGCAGTAAAAGCGGGATCTCTGGGTGGCGCAGCGGTTTGGCACCTGCCTTTGGCCCAGAGCGCGATCCTGGAGACCCAGGATTGAATCCCACGTCAGGCTCCCGGTGCATGGAGCCTGCTTCTCCCTCTGCCTATGTCTCTGCCTCTCTCTCTCTGTATGACTATCATTAAAAAAAAAAAAAAAAGGCAATAAAGCCTTCAGTAGGGGTACTTAGTTCTTGTCTCAAAAGAAAATGAGATGGAAGTCCTCAGACTAAAAGTACCCTGAGGGTTTTACCATGAAACCCCTAGTTACTTCAGTAACTTTTCAGAGTGACACCACCTCCCTACACTTCCAGTTCTTCAGGAGGCTTCTGGGTGGGGCTCCTTAAAGCGGCTGCAAGTGATTTGCTCTTAGAGTTCTCATTTCATCTTCTGCTAGGTCTGTGGCAAGGAGGTGAGGGCATCCCATCTTGGGACTTAAATGAGCTTTTCTTCAAATCTGTTGTAAAATGTGGTTAGTTCGATTTTGTGTATGTATTTTGTCCATGACTGTGCTAGATGCTTTTTTTGGGGTGATATTTTTCGACTGACACAAGTTTACTGTTAAACTTTTGAATACAGCTGAAAGAAATTTTCACAAATGCTGGACAAACTCTACCATATTGAGGGTGACCATACTTTATATTGCCAAATCAGGACACTGAGTTGAGAGTGAAAAGAGGGCACTAATAATTATGCCAAGATTATAGGGTTTTAACCTCCTGGATGGTGATTATTACAATGCCTTAGGGCTAGTAGCTTGTTTGAGTTTTAGAGCCTTTGTCTAAAAGCTAAAAGTTTTAGAGCCTTTTGTGAGAACCGTGACAATGTCACTGGTTTCTCACAGATGGTTACCTGATTGGTTCCTTGTCATTGAGATCTCAGTTTAAATGTCACCTCTGCACAGACACCTTCCCTTAGAGCATGATCTAACTATTCTTTTTTCCAAAGAGCTCCTTGTCTGTATTTTCCCCTGAACTGCCCCCTCCATAACTGGGACCCGGCTCCTCTCAGGTATTCTCAGTAGCTCAAAGTATATTTGGCATGTAATAGTGCTTGAGAAGTTTGTGAAAGTCAAGTTGGAGCCTCCTGCACTTCAGCCAGAAAGTTAATAGATACTTTATCCTTACTACTAGGTAATGTGTATGAAACCAAGTTTTAAGATTGTGAAAAATATACCATGTGTACCCCCCACTTTAGCTGTACCTTCTTTTGGTGGGTAAACAGGGTGGCCATTTTTTGTAGCACTTGGTACCAGGTATTTACATACTCCTTTACACAGTTGCTAAATAAACCTATGGAACTCGTTATTACCCTGGATTGTTGTATAAGCCAAACATACAAATAGATTTCAAGACTTGAGAGTCCTCTCAGGATCACGTATCCTTTTACCAGATAAATGTCTGGGCTAGAGCAGTAATCTGTAGGATTCCTTCTGATAGAGAATATTTGTGATGCCTTTACCTTCCTTTCAAAGGCAGGTGCCAGCTGGACTGGACTCCTGCCCTCACCCCCCCCTTGGGAGTAGTCGAAACTGAAGATGAATGATCATTTTTCCCATCTTCCTAAACCTCAAGACTTAGGATATTGTATTCATTCGGGGCATCTTTTAGTTATTCGTGTTAGGCATCTGAACTGTTCAGTTGTTTTGATATCATACATCACCTTATCAGAATATATACAAATAGTAGACGACATTTACGTGATACTTAATACCTTACGTCCTGTTTGAGTGGTATTGCATATGTATATGAAAATTGTTAAATCATACTTAAGCAAATACACCGTTTTTTAAAGGCAGGCTGCTCAGTGAAGTTGTTAAAATAATTCAAAAGTTTGCTATCAGCTTTTCAGTCACATGACACTGAGCAGAAAGTGGTCACCGTCCAGTTTCATAACCTTAAACAGATGGTACATAATACCAAAACAATGAACTGAATGGTGCAGATTTAGAACATGATGTTCATACACAGAAGCACTTTTCCAGTAATACTGCTTTCAAGACAAAGTAATAGCTGGCTAGAATTTTAACCCCTTGTGTATTATGTGTACTGCTTTTAATAAAAAAAATGTTGAGTACCCTGAAGGTTGAATACCTCTGAAGTTTATTAATAAACTAGCAAGATGGATTTTTCTTTGCAGATGTACTGAATCCTTTGATGTTTTTAATAAGCAAAGGAAAACACTATAGTCTTCTGTGCATGTAGTGCTTTAAGCATGAGCTCAGTATATGACTGTCGACCTTCAATTCACATATATCATCTTTTGGTAAGAGAAGGTATTTCAAAGATTTGAGGAACCCTGCATTAAAACATTCTCACCTCTTCCCACTACTCCCTCCTTTTGTCTTGTACAGGTCTCCCAGGCAGCTGCAGATTTGAAACAATTCTGTCTGCAGAATGCCCA